CTAATCGCTATAACTAACTGATGACGTAGTCTGTGATGCAAATTCTTCTACCCGAGGATGTACCCGAAATATGATTGGACTGATGCGACAAGGAAGGTTGATGTTAACTGTATTCTTCTATATGTGTAAGTGTGCTGTTTAATTTTAATTTAATTTAATGAATTTGTCACAATTACAACAAAGGACAATTACATATTTACAGAAACAATGACAGGAGAAGGTAACAGGAGAATTTCCCAATTGACAACCAACCCCAACAAGAACAATACAATAAAAAAGCAAATATCCAGTTTTTAGAAGTCGGACTGTATCTGAATCCAACTACGGCGGTGTGTACGTTTGCAGCCTGTCCGAAAAATATCCATGCAGTTTTGATTTAAAATTCATATTTTCAGGTTACTGAACGAATACCTTTTAGAATACTTTGCTTTATTTAGTTGATCTTAAAGACTAATACACCTGAGTCTTATGTTTGTATCGGGTACAGCTGAAATCTCGATTTATCGCACTCTGCTAATAACAAGAAAAATAAATACCTATCACAATCTTCATCCTCAGGATCATCTGATACACTCCAGTCAGCTTCATCTTCTAAATCTACCATCATCGCTAACATTTGAGGAACTAGACAAGTTAGAAACAAAACTATTTAGATACTGTAAGAGGGTTGTAATTATAGAACTCATTGACAAGTCAAATTTAACTTATTGAGTTGCATGCGCCTTACTTTATTATTGTACTCTATCTAACGCCAGACGATTTTACTCGTCAAGGGGAGAGCGTTGGGGCTCAATATGTTAATCAGACTATTTGCCCATGTGCTTAGGTAATTGATGAAGTTGCATCGCGCTTTAATGGCTAATGTGCCTTAATGGCTAATGCGCCCTACTTTATTATTTTACTCTGTCTAATGCCAGACGATTTTACTCTTCAAAGGGAGAGCGCTTGCACTCAATGCTCACTGGATTATCAAACATATTTAGCTTTCAAAGAGTACTTCTATACAAACATATATTTCAATCCTCCATTTAAAACACATGATTATTGTTCTTGTTCCCTATGGGGTATGGAAGCTATAGTGATGTCACCACGACAAACCTCATCTCGCATTTTACTCACTGCTGTACATTACTGGGTAGTTCTACTCAGTAAAGTGCTAGGATCTTAGAAGACAACTTACAAAATTACCTATACTAACAAAAGAAAAAGGCTGCGCAAACGCTGTGCTGAGTGGTTATATTACTACCTTAAAAAACAAGCAGAAACGTTTCGAGCGAAGGCCCTTCGTTTCGAGCGAAGGCTACTCTAACGGCTACGCTAACTCTTGACGAAGGGCCTTCGCTCGAAACGTCGAGTTTCTGCTTGTTTTGTAAGGTAGTAATATAACCACTCAGCACAGCATTTTCACATTGGTACTACCCACACTGGTACAGACAGTTTTAGTATATATACGCAGCAAACACCAACAAACTTACCAATGAGTGGGAAAAACTTCTGATACTTTCGAAGCATGGCTGGGGCTATACGAAATGAAAAAGTAATTACAGTAATTACTGTGGAATGTAATTACAAAAGAAAATAACTCGTAACCCCTAAATCGTAAATTATTGTACTATTTTAGCAAATTATATTGGTTTGATGCAGTCCTCGTTCAGAATAGTTGAACTTAAATATATACATTAATACAAGCAGCAATATTTTATTACGTCGAAGCTCTTTTTGTCTTTTCAAGTAGTTGCATATCCTACAAAAATTACTGCTTGTAGTCATCGGTACCTTCACTGGCACCGACAGTTTGACACTGAAACTTATTATCTACTTATGGCCATTGCCCACAAACGATGCTCTCAACTGGCACAAGTAGGCCACAATATACTTGACATTTCTAACTTTATGTGTCTCCTAGTATACGCATGCAAGCGTATGTCAAAATGATGTTATAAATACAACTACCAACTAACAAGAGATACATCGCCATTGCATGGTATTATTGTTAATTATGTGATGGACCGTAATCCACCTATACATAATCTCCAGTACAGTTTCTCTTGAAATAGTATTTACCTGATTCTGCCAATGTAACAATGCATTCCAAAGCGAGCTGCCGGACGGTATTTTCATATTCTGTATTTGAAACCGTCTAGAAATATCAAATCTGAAATCACTATAATATCAACACACAACATGAACAAACACAAAAAAAAGTAAAACGTGTTCTAGTCCTGGTATAACCTGCTCCATACCTGAAGAGTGATATTTAAAACAATTTCCAAATTATTTCTTAAAACCTTTGGTGCTTTCTCAGAAAGATCAATCATGCTTTTCAGTACGTTGTCATCTTGCTCTTGTAAACTATCTTTCAACGCCTACATGTATACAGATTATTTATACTGTATAATATCATATCACACAGTAGTATAACATACAATACCATAAATGGACTGCGATGTTAAATGGGCTGCGATGACGATACGAATAGGATTTTGAATGATTGAATCTAATTAAAACCTCACTGTGCAATCACAGAGTAGAGACATACAGAGACGAAACTAGTGTACCCACTTTTTTGTGCGCATGCTCGGCAAGTTACTAGATGCATGCATCTGATTGGATGACGACCTGATGACGACTCACTTTAAACTTGCCGAGCATGCGCAGTTGACCATTTTTTCGCCCGGTCGCCTGAAAAAAAGTGGGTACATGGTAACGTAATCTTCCGCAGTGTTTACGACGGTCAGTTACGTCTCTGTATAAGTCTCTACTCTGTGGTGCAATGGAACAAATCGTATAGTACAAAAATGCACGGCTGAGCGTGCAATATTACGCGTCCCATTGCACGCTGGGCAAAATGGAAATTTTTATTCGATATCACGTGATCATAATCAGCCAACTTAGGGCTGATTACATGGGGAATTTTCAGCCGGGGCTGAATTTCAACTCGGTTAAGCGAGCTGAATTGTTTCATGATTACATGGCAAATTTCAGCCCGGGGTGAGTTAGTATTTCAGTTCAAACAGTGGGGTGAAATCTCAGCCCGGGCTGAAACGATCAAATCTCAAAATGGAGCTATTCCGCTTCTTCGATGAATTTAAAACGTTGTTCATGTCTATTTTTTGACTTCTGCGTGACTGTGGTTGCATTTAAAAATAGAACAGACGGAACTAAAGCCACTTAAACGCTGTTTTTTCAACCCGGGTTGAAATTTCCCGTCGATTACATGATTATTTTCAGCCCGGTCAACCGGGACGAAATTTTCAGCCTGGGTAGTTTCAACCTGACTGAAATTTCTGTCATGTAATCGTTTGCTGTGTTTTAATAGGTGAAACCGGGATTAAACTCAGCCCGGGCTGAAAACTCCCCATGTGATCAGCCCCTAAATGACCATAATTTAACGAGGTGTTATACATAATGTAAGTACCATAGAATAACATAAAGTAACATGACACTCTACAGAATTCGATACATAGTATCCACAGTACACCATACCCACAAAGGCAACAATACTAAACATATAACATGCCGTGGTTCCGGTTTCCCGACCGTGAATACTAAACATATAACATGCCGTGTGAATACGATTGTGAATACTAAACATATAACATGCCGTGGTTCCGGTTTCCCGACCGACCCTAATGTTTTTTTTTATGTGGTTGCGGTTGTTTTCTTACCTACTGACCCTATTTTTTCGTTGACGCCAAAAATGGCGTCCGATTTCACGATTATTGCTTCTGGAAATGCTTATGTGCTATGGCAATGCCAAATCATTACACCCATGACCATTTGCTAACCAATATCAAGCAAAAAAAAGAAAACATTTCTCAGTAAAATTTTTTCAGACCTACCTGCACTAATATTTCGGGATATGAAAGCGGAACAACAAGATTCTTTGTTAGGCCTCACCCAAAACCATACTATACATTATACCACACCAACATAATACTACATTATTCCAATTCATATTTTACAGAACAACATTCAGCTATACCGCATCAAACACACCATTGCAATCCATACCACATCAAATACTAAATTAAACTATACCATAACAAACCAACCCAAGAATACCATTCCATACCACACTATACTATACTAAAACATACGATACATATTATAAAAAATATCATTTCACGCTTTTCCTTAATCTCCTGACATATGTGTTGTTTATTTTTGTAAAAGAACAAAAAGACCGATGCTTCTGTTTCTATAAATCATGCATCTCGGGCCCGAAAATCTCGCTAATCACCAAAATCTCAATTTTATACTTTCTCTTCTTATATAAAACCTCTATTAAAACAACGGTCCACCCTATTATTGTATGGACCATGCCGCACGGCTCGCATTCATAAAATTACATACATCTAACTTACACTTAATACATCCAATTTATTCGCATTGGAAGCTCTTACCTGTAATATTCCAGGTACAACATCTATAAACTGTTTCTGCTGCTGTTCATGGACTTGATCAACTAAGAAAGCCACGGCCGCTCGAGCTGCTGTATATCTAACCTAGGATACAACAAATACTTCGTTTTTGTATGGCTTGGGAATATAAATAATATAATCATCACTTATTCGAATTTCTTCAAAGCTTGCCATTCTTTTTTGACAAATATTTAGAGATGCTTAAATGTCTAGCCATAAAAGTATTGTTGTTGCTCTTAAACGGATGAAGTACCTCACGCGCGTTCGTTGCAGGTTAGGGTATTACGAAATTACAAAATGTTAGCTATTAAGAAATTACAAAATGCCAAGTTTGTTAACAGCACCTGCAACGAAAGCCCGTGAGGTATACAAGGCCGATGTTTAAACTGCATGCACGCCTAAAAAGTCAATCGTTACCATCTCTTTAGTTCAGAATTTCTATTCAGGGAAAAACATAACAGCCAGTCACCGGTCAATCACTAACCAGATTTTTAATTTCACCGGTCAAATTTGTGCTACATTCGACCTTGTTGCAATTATGACTGGTCATATTTTTGAGCTGACAATGATTTACTTCCGCTTTTACAGTCTCCAAAAACATCCAGGTTAAATTTTTCCTGGTTAACCTAGAAATGAACCTATTTGAGTCAACTTTTAAAATAACCCTGGTTAAATTTCCTGGTTATTTTGATCTTTTAATGTTTGGTGGATAAAAAACCAGGGGGCGGGCCATGGTTATTTACAGGGCTGGAAAAAATAATTTTCTTCCTGGGAGCACAACCTGGAGACAAAAATTTCCTGCAGACTAACTAATCTGCATGTGCATAAACATACTGTAGTGTTCTAGTTGACCATAGTTTTAAATTCAAGGAATAATGTCTGTCAACCATATGTTGCTGTACCCATATGGCAATATAGTGGGACATGGGTGTTAAGGTGCTAAGGTAAATCTTCATTCAAACGAATTTTCTCCACCCCTGGTTATTTATCCGCCATGCAAACATAGTTTCGTTATTTTTTGAGAAGGACGTTCTGGTCAAATATATAACGAGATCCCCAGTTACATTAACCAGACTATGGTAGGACGTGCAGGCCTTAAAATATCTTTTACAGGGCCGTCTGACAAAATGTCCGGTGACATTGAGTTTGGGTCGGACATATGTCCGATGACCTTCAGTTCAGTTTTGACTCGGAAATAAGTCTGAGTGCCGACACAAATGAATAAACGGTAAAAGTTGTAAAGATATTAAATACTTTGTTTCTTTCATACTTATTTCCAAGCCAAAATTAACTTGCTTGCCAGAACAGCAGTATTAAAAAAGACTTCGACAACTTAAGCCCGTTTTCCACTTCACCATTTCGCTCGCCGCCCCGCGCTCG